AAAAAAAAAAAAAAAAAAAAGATAGTTAGTAAATCCGTACATAGCTAGAATGTGATATATATGTTAATAAAGAATACAACATAAAAATCAATGTTATTAATTCCAATAAAAAATGAAATTGGGAAAAAGAAACAGAAGAGGAAAATACACAATATTCCAAAATTTAACCAGTTACAAGATCAATAACAATATCGAGCAACAATCATTAATAACTCGTTTTCTTTATATATTTTGAAATAACTTGTTTAATTGAGATTAAGGCAGGGTTTATTGTTAGTGGTTAAATCATGAAGTTACGTCTCATGTGACAATTTTTCATAATATTAATACCTGTACTTCACCGCTAGGGGAAGCTTGTTCCAATTCCGTAGTACAAACATACTCAAATTCAGTGTGATTTAGCTAGAAGATGAGATTGCCATTTAATATAATTAAAAATTCATTGTTAAACTAAACGATAGAAGGAATACTAAATGAATGGGGAATAAAACCATAACAAAATAAAAGTAGAATTTGCTATCTCACATTCCTTACCCATTAGAAAAACAAAGTGACGACATGAGATGTTTAAACACTCAATAAATTAAAAAGTCCTACAAGCTAGAGTGAAAACGAATTATTGCTGAATGTTTCTCGATATTGTTCATGTTATTGATCTTCTGAGTGGTTACGTTGTGGAATACTGTGTTTTTTTCTAATTGTTTTATTTATTGAGATTAATAACACTGATATTAATTATGTATTGTTTATTAACGTTTGTATCAAGTCCTGGTCAGGCTTGAATTAATTATTATTATTATTTGTTGTTGTTATTGGTAAAATTTATTCCAGATATTTTTAAACTGAAAGTTTGAGTTTGGATTTCTGTGGTTGTTAAACTTAAAGTTTAATACATTTGTTTTTTGTTTGATCGCGGTTGTAGTAGCATTGTGTTTTAGTCCAGTATAATTTTCGAACTGATGCTAAACGCAAAAATCTTGTTACTGGGACCTTGCAAGTTGCAGTACACTTTACGTATGAAGGTTTCATTTTCTGTTAATATTATCCCCCGTTTTTTAAAACCAGTGAAGTTCTTTCATATTAAATGGAGGAAGAGGTCCGAGGTGAACTTGACCCAACTAGGTTGCGCACGACGACCAAAAACCGATAAAGCTCAGTCATATTACATAGTCCTAATAATAATAAGAGGTTTCTTATGGACCATTGAGCTATAGCATAAGATTATTGAACGTAAAACTATTAATCATGGGACCAGTGCACTGTAAGACTATTGCACAATAGGAACATTGACACGGTAACTTAAATTAAAACAACTGTTCAATCCTCGGGAACCTGTCCAATGTCTAACGTACCAAAAATTAAATATATCATCTTTGACTTTTTTCAAAATTCTGTTCAAACCGTTATCTGATACTGACACATTATCTATATTTAGTTTTGCAATCTTTCTCCTTATCAGGTTAACACTAAGGGATTAATTTTTTAATATGTACATTATTCAGTGAATTCCAATATTTCTATTAGAATGCTCAGGGTCAGGCATATTGCAAATATCTTCATTAAAAACCCAAGTTCAGCCTTCTCATAGTTCTTGAACAAAAAACTTGCCATCAGCATCCGGTGCCCAACCCCCTTTTTAACATTTTGCCTACTATTAACATAGAAGAATTATGCTCTTACTTTAATCTTATGAACCAGCAATTTCTCATAATCTTTTTTTTTTAATTTCCCAATTTTTTAAAACCAAATTACTAGCTTTCCTATAGTTCTGTAAATTTAAATTTTTTAATTTAGTGCATTAAATCTTGATTTTATCCCTTATATCTTTATTAATCATGTTTGGTTTGATCTTCTCTGTTATCCTTTTCCATCATTTTAGGTCAAAAATTGTTATTTTGAATTAAAAGTAATTTATTTTAAATATTCCAAAATCTGTCCCATATCATCTTTTAACATATTATCTAAATTCACTAATCGTAAACATTGTCACATGGCCTCAGTATTGGCTTTCTAAAAACTAGGAATTAAGTTTAATTTCGTTTTTTTTTATCTCAGCATGCAGCAAAATATCAGACCTAATTATGCAATGATCACTCATTCCCAAATGTTTTCTCATTTCAACTCTTGCAATCATATCCTCGATAGTAGTTACAATAAATCGTAAAATGATATCTCTTCTGGTTAGCTGTCTCGGTCACTTGATATGTATGTATGTATGTGTGTGTATTATGTATATAAAACTTCTTTAATCATTTTAAGAAATCTTTCTCCCTCACTGTTCGAGTCCATACAATCCAATTGATTGTGTCTGAAATTGAAGTTCTGTATGATTATTGTATTAATAATCTTGTCAGCAACAACAAATAAACTCATATAAAATTGTTCACTGATATCTGTTTGACCAGGTGGCATATAACAACTGCTGTTTTTAAATATTTTAATTTGTATAACTTTGAAGTTCTTGATTTTAATTCACATAGATTCAACATCTTGAATAGCCCTTTCTTTTTATATCAGTTCCAACAGACTGGTGTGGACTAGTGGTTAGCATGCCAAAAGTTAATAATTCTCTTATTATTATTGCAAACAGATTTGTGCTCCACATCTTCAGCCCATTATAAAAATAATGGTGAAAGCCCATTATTTGATCAGAGGAGAGTATCCCAATAGCTAACAGTGGCTGCTTTTTACTAGCTATTTTCCCTCAGGTTCATCAATTAAATATTGGGGATGGCTAATGCAGATTGTCCGTGTGTAGCTTTGGTCAAATATCTGAAATTTGTAAGCTGAAATTTCAGTGTTATTTCTGTTATCAAAGCTAATTTTAGTAATTCACATTATATAATAGCATTTCTTTCAGCATGAGCTCTGAACTTGGGCATTTTTTCCCTAATGCTTCAAATATTAGAATACTATCAACTGTCTGACAGAATTACTTAAAGCTATTATTTACCTTGTAATGCTCTAAATGTTCATCGTTCAGTTTCAGCATTACCCCTAACTATCCTATCAATTGGTTTATTTCAAATTTTCTAAGCTCCCTCACTATCTTTCGTTATTTTCTTCAGAAAATATCCAAATACTTCGTCTGCTTAAGAAGAGCCCTAAAACTATCCCACAAGACCAACCAGCCCATCTGTTGGTCTTAGCATATTTCCGATAATCTTTCGTTTAACTTTGGATTCTAGTAAGTAATTCAGTCCTACATCTAGCCAAGGGAGCACTCTTAAAAGAACTATGCATCTGTTCATATTCCTAAACCTATGAAAGAATTCTTTATACTTTTTATTTATAACTTGCAAGATCATTTACTCCTACATAAATAAAGTTAAATAGGTTTTGTTTTTATAATGTTAATTATCATTCTTTCTTTTTTTGTTTTCATATAAAATTATGTTGTTGATGAAAGGGTTGAGTATTTAACACAAATATATTTTGCTTATAATTCGACAGTAATAATACACATTTACTTTAATTCCCCGTACTTTGTCAGAATAAGATAAAACTAACTTGAGTATATTTGGCAAATTTATTATCATTATTAATGTTGTTGCCGAAATATTTAACCTACTCATTGGTGGGTATCAGAATCCCATTTCTGTATATAGTTTTAAGTCGAGTATGTTACTTTTTTCACTACTTTTAGCTCCTACGGGGGCGGCACAGTCGCCAAAATCATGAGGAACGACAGGAACCAATCCAAGAAAAAAATTCATCTGTTGAAGTTATGCAGTTATCTGTGACAGAAAATGAAGAAATAGTAAGCTTGTTATTACTTTTTGTGTGACGTGTTCTTCACGATATTATCATGAAACAAATATTTCATGAGAGTATATTGGTTGAAATGATAAGCTTATAATTATTTCTTTAAAAAAATTCCACACTGACAAGTAACTCTGATTTTGACTTTGTTTTTGTGACTTTCTGATTGAGCAAGTTGAAGAAGAGTTCCCAAATAGAAAAGACCACAGAAAAAAACAATTAAGTTAAAAAAAAGTACTGAAAAATAAGCTTCTACTTCAAGCCTATTGTATTTTGGACTATTAAGTCCATCATGTAAAACCTGGGTGCTTGTGTGATATGGAATAAATGGATTTCAAAATTATTGCAGGATTAAGCTAGTAAAATAACTTTCTTACCTGATATTTAAATCTACAAAGTTTCGGATATTGTTACTAAATAATTTATATTTTCTATTATTTTCACACAATGTGAGGTATTTTTGTGAATTCAGATTTGTCTAGGGGGCAGTTGTTAAAACAAAATTAGTTAGTTCCTGTTGAGACTTGAACTTCAAATGTTTGCAAAGCTTAATTGTTTTAGTTTTGTACTTTTCATTAGTACTTACCCTTTTTTTGCATTAGTTAAAATAACTGACCATGCTCACATTTGAATCCCAGTTTTTGAATACATTTTGTAATGCACATTTTTCTGTATATTTTTTAAAGTTTATCTCAAGAAACTTCCAGAAGTTAACATGTTTACCAAAACCAATTTAAAATTACTTTATACATTAGAGCCATAAACTTTTTTTAGATAACTAACGAATATATTTATTTTATTTTTTCGTATTCATGTACAGTCACAAAGTCCATTATTGTATTTATATAAATTACCAGACTTCCCAGTGGGTGTACATTACGACATATTTATGTGTTTGTTCATTTTAATTAAATCTGAAAAATTCTAAAAGAAGAGATGTTTTGTATGGTACCTTGATGAACTGGCATTCGACCCGAAGGCTACCAAACCAAGTTCAAAATCAACAAATATAAGAAACTATGAAGTGAACTTTATAAATGTTGAACTAATAGAGCTCGTACATTTTTACACATATGACTTATTTGTACATTATTTTCGTCTTAAAGTTTATCAGAGACACTGAAGTGAATCTGAATGCTGTTCATAATGTGAAAAATATATATAATTTGTTTTACTGATAGTTTTCTTGTGTTTATATATTTTTTTTTTGTTTTCTCAGAAGCACATGTTATTAAAAACTTTTTATTCTCCAAAATGGTATATGGATATAGCAAAAACTCTAGAGAAACAGAACTTCTGCTTGTAATATACACAAAATAAACTTTTTCTAGAGCCTACCCTAGCTCGTGTAATTGTGAAGGTTGACATTTATCATTAATATTATTTTCTGCTCTGATTAACATTGTTTAATATTTTGGCAACAGTGTAGACTAAAATATGTCTGTTTTGACGTAAAAAGTGTAGCATTTTAAAAGGACAGGAGAGTGAAATTTTGTTTAATACACTTAGGAGGATCTTAAAAAGAAGTTGGATGAAATGACAGCAAAATGTCTAAAATTGGAAGGAACAAAAAAAACAGTAAGTTTATTCCCAGTACAATTATTGTAATTTTTTATTTTATTGACATGCAACTATAGAAAGGTATTACTTGCGGGGTGTATATTGTTTAAAACATGGACCTTTAGATTAAATTTTTATACCCAGTTGTGATATCTCTTGTCAGGATGGACAAGTCTTTGCGTAGTAACATCTTAACTTCAGAAATCCTTGAAAGTAATTCATTTTAAATATTTGTGTTTTTTGCTTTTTCTCCATAAACAAAACTTTGTTTTAGCTCAACAACAAAAATCAGTCAAGTACCAGAATGAAAACTTCGATGGTAGTACAGTGTTCGATTAAAAGTGTCACATTTTTGCTGATTAAACAGACTTGATTATTAATTTTATGATAATTTTTTTTTCCTGAAGTACAGGTGTAGGTGAAACACAGTTACAGAAAGCATATATTGTTATTAATCTTTGGTTTATCACTCCATGTTTTTTTGTTTTAATCTATACACTCCCCTGGAGTTGTTGTAACTTTTGTAAACGATTGAAAACTGAAGAAAAGATTAATCTCAGTATTAGTTTCTCTAGAACTTTTGCAATATTTGTGATATCTTTATGCTTGAAGTATTCTAATAAAAAAGTTTTTTGATACACGTACTGTGTCGAAATTGTTATGATACAAAAATGTACATAATGTGTAATTTGAATTCTCTTATGGATCTGCTTTTTTAACATTGTTACTACACTAAACATGTATTTGAATATATCCAAAATTTTAGGTAAAGTTAAACCTGTACATAGAATATTTATTGAGGATTATTTGAATGTAGTTGACAGTACACATCCTTACATAAAATTAACTTCAAAGATGATATTACCACTAGCTAACCATTACGCTTGTATCTTTTATTTGTTGGACATCTGTGTAGATGATAAATTTTCTCTCTTTTGGTTTGTTGTCATTGTCTTAAGACACTTGTATGAGGTACAACAGATTTAGAAGTTTAACAAATGTTGTACTTATATAAATGTTTCTGAGTAATTTAGTTGCTAAGCTTTGCAAATATTTCATTAAAAACTTCCAATTTTGAAAGTTTGAATTATTTAAATAATATTCTAACCTCAAGTTATTATTCCACATGAAACATTACATGATGACACTAAAGCCGATCTTTCTGTTGAAACCGTTTAGTGCATCAGCCAATCAAAGTTTTGAGCTGTAAAATCAAATTAACCATTTTCTTTTCAACACAAAATAAGAGAGAGAATTTTGTGTTGACTAAATTTCTGAAAGATGTATATGGTAACTATTATATATTCTCTATTCTTACAGTTGATGTAAGAAATCCCACAAACTTAGGTTTCAAAGAGAAAATTCATTTACTACTTGAGTAATGGATCAGAATGACAGTGGATCTGCACATGTTTCAATATTATCCACAACAGGGGTGAAATTCTCAAAAAAAAATTAGAGGTACTTAGCTGGGTGAAGCGGACCTGTTTTTGAAAAAGAGAAAGAAGTTGTATGTTTAAACATAAGAAATGGGCCCGGCATAGCCAGGTCATTAGGGAGCTCGACTCGCAATCTGCGGGTCGCTGGTTTGAATCTCCGTCCCACCAAACATGCTCCCTGTTTCAGCTGTGGGGGCATTATAATGTGACAGTCAATCCCACTATTTGTTGGTAAAAGAGTAGCCCAAGAATTGGCGGTGGGTGGTGATGATTAGCTGCCTTCCCTCTAGTCTTACACTGCTAAATTAGGGATGGCTAGTGCAAATGGCCCTCGTGTAGCTTTGCACGAAATTCAAAACAAATAAACATAAAAAATGACAAAGCAACTTAAATAAGTCCTGGTACTAGTACCACCTTAAAAAATAAGTACCATTACTCAGTACCAATGAGTACCAGCAGAATTTCACCCCTGATCCACACTTTAATGTTGGGAAGACAGCTGCAATAGAAACATTGTTCTAGTATTGCCAGAAGTTCTTGTTGATTTTAATACATAGAAAATTGTTGTCTTATAATAGAATGGTCCCGGTAGGACACCAATAAGTTTACAAACTTACAATGCTAAAATTCACGGTTCAATTCCATGTGGTGGATGTAACAGATAGCCCAAAGTGGCTTTGCTCTAAAACATGCAAACAAAAGTAAACAGTACAATACCAATTTTTTTTTGTACTTTGTAATTATCTTGTAGTTTGAATAGCATTGAAAAATAAAGAATCTCGGTGAACCACAGGAGAAATGTGGCACAAAATATCATTCTTTGTACACTTTACTTTTTATCAATAATGTTCAATAGCAGTGTATCTTAAGTTATGAATGTGTTTGCATTAGGACTCGGAAACACCTGTTCCAGTTATTGTGGAAAAAAAAGGTGACAATGATACACAGCAGGAAGAGGAAAAGCTGAAACTAACCAATGAAAAGTTAGATATAGAAAAGGTGAGCTAATGGTTAAGTAGATAATGCTTATCAAAATATTGTACTTTGTTGGGCATATATTACATTGTTCTATTATATTCACTGTATACACTACAAATATTACCAGGGTTAGTCTTAGTGGTTACTAGCTACGGTGCTCTTAGAAGACATTGTCATTAAACCCATGATCAACACCACAGGACTAGTATGATTTATAACCACTACAAATATTACCAGGGTTAGTCTCAGTGGTTCCTAGCTACGGTGCTCTTAGAAGACATTGTCACTAAACCCATGATCAACACCACAGGACTAGTATGATTTATAACCACTACAAATATTACCAGGGTTATAATCATGACAAATTCTTGTAACTAGGTGTGAGTTTATACACCCAAAGATTCTTGACCAGAAACTAAAAGAATTTCATGAAATTGAGCACCTGTAATAGTTTTTGTATTAAAAAAAAAAGGACCATAATTATTACAATTATTTTTTTTGGTTCAAGAAGCTCATTGCTGTGAGTTGCCAATTAAGAATGCCCTTCAATTTATTCGGTATGGGTTTAAACTTGAGCTTAAGTGTGAAATTATTTAAGTTAATGCAATGTTAATACAAGTTCATTAATTCTAACACTGGAGGCTATTACACTATATAACTTACTGGTTTTTCTCTTGACATTATTTTATGTTTATTTTCAGTGTATTCAAATTGTGTTTTGGTTATTACACTATTGTTGCTAGGTGATATTTTTTCCTTAAAAGTCAATGTTCTGGTTGTTCAGGGGATAAAAGAAAAAAATCAAACTGAAATAATGATTATAAATTTGCCATTTCTTCACAAACCAGTATTCTTCACTGTATAATAGTTGGAGACGGCTTGAATGGGTAACGAAGCAAAACTTTAATATAAATTTAACATAACAGCAAGTGTACAACGTTTTGACAAGGTCTTCACTGTATGTTTTATGAACTAGAAAGGTCATTGATCTCATGTTTGCCAAGACCCAGTAAGAGGACTTGAACACTTAAATTGAATCTAAGTTATTTTTAATATCAGGTGAAGCTACAAGAAGAACTTAGTTGGAAGGAAGTCGAGATTAAGGAACTAAAGGTAAGGTCAAAGTAATCTTACTCTGATAAACATAATAATGAAAAAGAATTTTTCTATGTGGAGTAAGGAAAGCAGAGATGATGTATTAGCAATCTTAGACATTTTCTTGTTGTCTCTCTGTCCAAACTCTACTAGTCAAATCCCTGAAATAGTTATAAGCATCTGAAGATCTTCCTTACAAAAAAATGTTCTCCAATTTGGATGCAATACTGTTTTCAAAAACTTTGTTGTAGTTCTATTTTTATTTTGAATCTTTTTATATTTTACTTTGTTGTAGTTCTATTTTTAGTAATTCCTGCCTCTATGAAAGTGATATATAAAAATGCTTAATTTTATTAGCTATTATTTATAATTAATTTTTTTATCGGCAATTACATTATTTCTTATCATTTTACTCAGCTTTTGAAAAAAACAAAAGAGAGATTATGTAAAATATGTTTTTCAATAATAATCGTAACTTGTAGTTTGTACATATTTCTTGAAAACCATTAAGTGTCAGGTTTGAACTCATTGTGTCAAAAGATATAAACAATAAACTTTACACAATCCTTAAGTTGTCTTTTAAGAGTTTGTCCAATGTTGCAACAATTTTTTGCATAGTGACGTTGAACAAGTTGTTTTATTGTTGGAGATCTTCAAAAACAGAGTAATATGAAGTGTTTGACATTGTTTTGATGACACAAGTAATGTATCTAGATGGATAAAAACAGATAAGTAAGGAAACTGTAGTTTGGCTGACAGAGACTTGCAAAGGAAAAATTCTCAAAATAAAGAAAATTAATATTAAATTAAATTGTAGAAAAGTAAGTGTAGATTGTATGAAAAATTCAAGCTTTTTACGATTGCTGTTTAAGTTGGAGAATGATAAAACAATATTGAGAAATAATTATATTGGATTAATACTAACTTCTGATTAAAGCAAGCTACATATGTATCTACTAACAGGCATAGCTAATTTATGTATTGATTTACTCTTAAAACAGAAGAAATGTATAAACATCATTATTGATAGTTCACTTAATTTAATGAAAAACAGAATATCCAGGATTTGAAGCAAAAACCTCTTGAGATGGTAAAAAAACAATTAACAGAAGTGGGTCAGTTTTGAGGGAAAGTTAAAAACATTAATTGTTTTTAATTTGAAAATTTTGTTTAGTTGTTTTGTTTCTGAAAAAGTCGTGTGAATTTAAAGACCCAGTACTTGAATGTTCTTGATGGTGTGCTATTCAGTTTAATGGGAGATATTAACTGTTTTAAGTCTCTCAGTGCTCTCTAAGCATGCTTATAAACACATTTGAATAAAATAAAATAAATAGAAAGTAAAATCACACGTTGAGTATCTTTAGCTATTAATTTCTTTGTAATATTTTGACCATACGTTTATATAGGATAAACTTGAATTCTGCTTTTGTAGATAAAATGTATTGGATTGGATTTAAAATATTTTTAATACACTTATATTCCATCAAATGTCAACCATAAAAATATCAAATCCGGGACTTGTGTATTACATAATTTAGGCAAAACAATTTACCAAGAACAATCAAAGCTGTAGTTATTTTATGATTCTTTGATTATGGTTAACAGAAATCTGTTTTAATTGTGAATGTTAAAGTGTTGATTTATATTATAGTTTTTCTGATATGTATCCAAAATATAACCTCGTTTGCTTGTTAGTTATGAAATGCATTAGTACTTATACCCTAAAACACTGGATATTTAAAATGGAAGCAGTACTTTACAAATAGGAAGACCTGATTTTTTTTCAGGAAGAAATTGAAAAACAAGAAGAATTGTTTATTCATCAACAGGCTCAACATGAAGAAATTCTAAAAAACCTTGCATCGGCAAACCGAGCTAAGGTATCTACGGTTTTAAAACTTTACTCTAAGCATTCAGTTGTAAAAGACATTGTTAATGTTCACATGTTTTATCTACTTTGTTTAGTTTTTCAGTTTATTCAGCATGATTACGATTTGAATTATTAGGATATTTCCATTCAATTTTTTTTTTTAATATTTGAAAATGTTAAAAGAATAATTGATAGTTTGTAATGTGTGTTAGAAACAATTTATAACTTATATTAGGTGCCTGGAAAAATTTAACAATGTAATGGAAAAGTTGAGTGAAGATAAAAAAAAAATATATAATTTAAATATTTTCCCTGATATCATTTAACACAAATTATGGTCCAATTATTGTGCCTAAGCAGATCTTAGATTCATTGGTGAAGTGCTATCTTCTGTGTAGATAAAGGATGCGCTTGTTATATGGTGTAAGAATTAATTGTCTATAAGCTTACTTCAAATATATATATGAGATGCACTAGTCTATAGATGGACTCGGGTTCTTGACTTCTTAAGGTGTTCTTCTTTTATAATGGGGACGTGCATGGAGTAGTGGTTAACATGTACAGACTTTGAATCAGAGGGTTCATAGTTTGTATCCTGTTGTTTCAAAAATGCACTTCTTACTGTGAAGTCGTGGGTGTTCTATAAGAGTGACGATGTTGTCTCACTATTCAGTTAGACAAGAGTAATCCAGGAGTTGGTGGTAGATGCTATTCATCTAGTCATCATTTCAAAATGAATGATGGCTATGTGCAGAAAGCCCTCCTGTATCTTTGGAGGAAAAAAAAAAATCTAAACAATGCATCACTGTTCCATAATGATTTATAAATATTTTATAAATACAATGTCTTGTTATTAAAAATCGTACTTATGAACATATTTCAAGTGATGTGAGGGAGATATATGGGATTTTTAGTGAAACTTGTTCCTTCTATAGTAAAATGTGGTTTTAGTTACGTTGGTACTAGAGTGGTACAACACTTAAAAAGTGGAAATTTTCTGAGCCTTCATAGTTAAATAAAGTTATTATATTTTTTTCCTTACTCACTATCAGCCATTATTTCAAAGCCCTAAAGGGTCAGCAGTAAGTTTATGGACTTATTGTGCTAAAATCCAGGGCTCAATTCCCATGTAGCTTTGTGCTTAAACAAATGGATAAATTAGTATTTAATTTTCTTGACACTGATTTGTTAGAGAAAAAAACACATTAATTGTGTCACAATTTTCAGTTACTTCTAACAGCCAGGCTAGCAGATCAGGAAAAGAAAGTGTACGAACTGGAACAGAGCTTAGAACTACCTATTTCTACCAGAATAGAGGTGAGTAGGTAGGTATACATGAAGACTGTTTGTAAAGCCGTGTCTACAATTTGAACATAAGAATAGTATTATCCATCACTACAAATGAAACAAAAGCCTCAAAAACATGGAGCTACAGACCATATATTTTATTACGGCCACCAATCGAGCTTCATCCTGCAGTTACTGTATGTAGTGTTGTTTTACAGTTTCTAAAGATATGTTAAACATCTGGTTTCTCCTTAATTATTTCATTTAGCGTTGTGAGAACAGGAGTGTAAGTTTAAAAGTTTTAGATTGTAGACAGGACCACCTGCGTATTTTCCTTATCTAATTATGTAATTCTCATTACAGGTAATATGTTATGACATAATGTCAATTACTTCAGTTTAAATGATATGATATTGATCAGCAAAAGATGTATATATATCGTTATTTCAGAGAAAACAACTTGTAAAATTACATTCAATAACATTTTTCAAGATCTATACTAACTTTGTGTTTCATAGTTTCAAAACAAACATGAACTGTACAGTTTACATAAGTACTACAATTTTGCAATTTTTAATGTGTAAGAATGAGCCTGGTGTGGCTTAGTGTTTTTTGTGCCTAGAGTGTGAAACCGAGGTTTTGTGGCTCTCATTCTTATTGCCGAAAAACATTTTCGACACCTTGCAACCATGGAAATGCTATAAGAATGATGGTCAAATCGCATTATTAAATCAGAAAAAGAGTACCCAAATATTGGCAGTGAATGGGCATTGCTTCTCTATAGTGTTACTACTGTTTTTAAAATTGTAACTTTAAGAAATTTTACACCTTCAGTAAGTGTGAGTAACTTCCTTCACTAAAAAAAAAAGTCAATGCATAAGTAACAGAATATCACACGTTAGAAGTTATTAGTATTGAAATGAAAACTGGTATGGTTTTACAATTTGGGGAAGAGCAGTATTATTGAGTTCTGTGAATTTAAAATTGACTTCAGTTTTAGTAGCAGTCATTTACTTCTTTTCGATCTGTAATTCCTGCTTATTCTCAGTCAGCTCAACTAATTATTGTAAAGTAACATGCCATCTAATACTTGACGAGTCTTCAGGTTTACCAAGCATTTGTTTCTTTATACAATTAAAAAAACCCACCAGGGTGGAGCTTGTATGACCACCTTCACAATCAGGAATCATAGGTTTATATATAACAAACGATCACTTATTCTAAGGGATGCCATTTATTCTCACAACAAATTTAAACAAATATAACTTGTATCTATGTGTATACTTTGTCCAGAATTAACACTAACTTTTTAATGTATTGTGATTGTCTTCCTATGTATGATAATGTTATCACTAATGGTTTCTTAGGCACATCAAATTCTTAAGGTTTTAGTTGTGACAGGTTGTTCAACTTCTCATTGATATTACTATAAATTAATTACTATTTAGTTCATTATATTTCAGAAAATTATTAATGCAAAGTTGTTTGTTTGTATAACAAAAAAAATATTCATTACAGCTCTGTAAGCATGGGTCCCAAGAACATTCACCAAATTAATTTTAAAACCACCTTGCTATTTATTTACTAAAATATCCAAAAATAAACTGGATTTATGTTCACATTTTATTGTAAACTTTATATTTGGCAATACTTGGAGAGTAAGCATTTGTATCTTATGGTTTTACGAAAATAAATACTGATACTAAAAATATTTCAACGGAGTATGGAAGTGGGTTATTCATTATATAATTGACATATTTAAATTGTATGTTTTTTACTAGAATCGTGAAGAGCTTAAAGTTGTGAGAGAGGCTCTTTCGTGCCTAAGACGGTGTTTTGCTGCCACTGATCCTTATCAACATACTCTCGATACTATTGAGCAGAGTTTAGCATCCCTGTTGGAAAGGGTCAATGCTTTAGAATTTCAGGTTAGAACTGTATTTAAGTTTCTCTCACATGTTAATTACTGGCATGTGTTCTTTAGTTAATAGTTATATTTGTCTTGTTAATTTGAAGTGAAAATTATTATTAAAACAAATACTTTGTCTATTTAATGTAAGGAAGATTCTGTGATGCTTAGTCATACTTTATTAACTTGGTTTTAGCTGTATTCATAACATTTTCTTTAGTATAATTGAAACCTGAAACCATTTAATATCAACTGTATAGTAACTTTTGCCTCACCCTGTATATATAAATATTTTCACGACAAGGATGTGAAAATAATAG